TCCATTTGGATTAGAGTCTAGTTTATCTGGAGTAGCAAAACATATTACAGACAAACAATTATTATGGTATAAAAGACAAGTTCATTTGGATTGGAAAGGAAAAAAATTAATTCACTTTGGTGCTGTTGATTATGAAGCCACTGTATATGTCAATGGAAAAGAAGTTGGCAAACACATTGGAGGATATTCTCCTTTTGAAGTTGAAATAAATGAAACAGATTTCGAACTTATCGTGAAAGTATGGGATCCTACAGATAGTTATGACCAACCACGAGGAAAACAAGTAAGTAATGCAAATGGAATATGGTATACTCCAATCACTGGTATTTGGCAAACCGTGTGGGTTGAGCCAGTTCATGACCACTATATTGATTATATCCAATGTATTCCAAATATTGATTGTCATTCATTGAAAGTTCTTATTGATTTTAAAGGTTGTGAAAGTGATTCGTTTACTATTGATATTATTAAAAATAATAATGTCATCGTTTCTCAACACTTAGAAGGAAAAGAAAATATTATTTCAGTTCCTTCAGACATGAAGTATTGGACTCCTGATACACCAGAGTTATATGATGTAAAAGTATCATTAGATAGTGGGGATAGTATCTTTACATATTTTGGTTACAGAAAGTTTTCAAAAGGAAATTATAAAGGATTTCCTTGTTTTGAATTAAATAATAAACCTATATTTATTTTTGGTTATCTTGATCAAGGATATTGGCCAGATGGACTTTATACTGCACCAACCGATGAAGCACTTAAATCAGATATATTATTTGCAAAGAGCACTGGTATTAATCTTTTAAGAAAACATGCTAAAACAGAATCTGCTCGATGGTATTATCATTGTGACACTATTGGAATTATTGTTTGGCAAGATATGCCATCTCGTGTTGCTGATACTTCAAATTGGAATGAAGATGAATTCAATGAACAAGAAAAAGAGATTCCAATAGAGTCTAAAAGAAGATTCATTAATGAATGGAATGAAATTAGAAAATGGGTTGGACTTTCTCCATGTATTGGTTGTTGGATTCCATTTAATGAAAGTTGGGGACAATTTAACACTAAAGAGATATGTGAATTAACTAAAGATGAACAACGTTTGGTAAATGATGCTAGTGGAGGAAATCATTTTAAAAATGTAGGAGATATATGTGATTGTCACAGTTATCCTAAACCAAGAATGAGAGTATTAGATGATAGGATTAGAGTTGTTGGAGAATATGGAGGTATTGGTAAAACTATTCCACAACACACATGGGTAGAGTCTAATTGGGGATATATCCAAAGTGATAAAATAGAAGACACTTATGAAGAGTATATTAAGATGCTTGCTCAGATTGAAGGGCTTGCAGGAGCTATTTACACTCAACTAACAGATGTCGAAACAGAAGTAAATGGACTTCTTACTTATGACCGTGCTGTAGTTAAAATTGATATTGAACGAATCAAATGCATTCATCAATGGTTATATAACCAAATGAAATAAATTAATTAAACTTATTAACAATAAAGTTTTATTTAAATAATGTTTAATTTTAAAAAGAGTCAATTAATTAAAGGAACAAATTTGATCTTTACAACCAAGAGATAAACACCCATCTTTGAAAAATGTTTTCAATGGTTCAGTGGCACATGCGGCATTAATGATATCATCTTTTTCAATTTTTAAACATTCACATGGTGAATTTGTTTGCATACATTGATTGGCTTTTTCAACAGCATCTTTAAAAAGTTTGTTATCACAGAACTTACTCATTGCAACTATTAATCATTATTACTCTCTTCACAAAACTTAAAATTAAGTAATAATCCAAACCAATAATACATAAAAAGAAGATGATCAATTTCATTGTTCACTGAATTTTATTTTTGTAGTTCATTTGAGATTTCTATATTTCTTTCTTTTTCTAATTGTTTCATATTTTATTTTTAATTTTATATTTACAATATTAATTATATGTTATATATAACGTTTTCATTCTTTATTAATTTAAAAAGTACAATATGTTTTTCATTATTTATATTTTTTAGTTTACAGATCCTTTTATCAATTCAGAATATACAACAAATTTTGATACTATGGCTATTGAGTAATGCCATAGAATCTTGTAAAGAAAATCAATCAACAAACAGGTATTCAAGTTCAAAGAAAAGAAAGAACTTCAATACCAATAAAATGCATAATAATGATAAAAAAATAACAAGAAAAAAGTGAATAGAAAAAGAAGAACACAAAGAAAAACAAATAAGAAAGAAAGTAAATATAATGGTAATAAACATTATACAAATAAGAAATCTAAATTATTAACAAAAAAAGAAATTAAAATGAAAATTAAAAGAATAACAAGAAAATGGGAGAAATGAGAATATTCAGAAATACTTAAAAAGTATGAAGGTAAAGAAATTGTATAATATATATCCAAGAAGTATATTCAATAATAAATAATAAAATAATAGAGAAAATCAAAGAAGAATTCAAAGATAAAACAAAATA